AATGTATTGCTGTATTTGGTTTGCCAATATTTTGTTGAAGATTTTTGCATCTAAGTTCATCAGCGATACTGGCCTGTAATTTTCATTCTTTTTGTTGTCCTTATATGGTTTTGGGATGAGGGTGATGTTGGCCTTGGAGAATGTGTTAGGAAGTGTTCTGTCTTCCTCAATTTTTTGGAATACTTTGAGGATAGGTATTAAATCTTCTTTGAATGTTTGGTAGAATTCTCCAGAGAAGGCATCTGGTCCTGGATTTTTTTTTTGGGGGGGGGGGGATGGGGAGGTTGTTGATTACTGTTTCAATGTCTTTACTTGTGACTGGTCTATTCAGATTCTCTGTTTCTTCTTGGTTCAATTTTTGGAGATTGTATGAGTCTAAGAATTTATCCATTTCTTCTAGATTGTACAATTTGTTGGCATATAGTTTCTCATAGTATTCTCTTATAATCCTTTGTATTTCTGTGGTATCTGTTGTAATTTCTCTCTTTCATTTCTAATTTTATTTATTTGAGCCTTCTGTATTTTTTTCTTAGTGAGTCTGGTTAAGAGTTTGTCAATTTTTTTAATCTTCTCAAAGAACCAGCTCTTTATTTCATCGATCCTTTCCACTGTTTTATTGTTTGTTTTAATTTCATTTATTTCTGCTCTAATTTTTATTTCCCTCCTTCTGCTGACTTTGGGCTTTGTTTATTCTTCTTTTTCTGATTCTGTTAGGTGTGGTTTAAGATTGCTTATTTGAGATTTTTCTTGTTTGTTAAGGTGGGCCTGTATTGCTATGAATTTCTCTATTAGGACTGCTTTTGCTGCATCCCATATGAGTTGGTATGGTGTGTTTTGATTCTCATTTGTCTCCAGATATTTTTTGATTTCTCCTTTAATTTCTTAAATGATCCACTGGTTGTTCAGCAGCATGTTGTTTAGTCTCCACATGTTTGTCACTTTCTTAGGTTTTTCTTGCTGTTGATTTCTAGTTTCACAGCATTATGGTTGGAAAAGGTGCTTGATATGATTTCAATCTTCTTAAATTTATTGAGGCTTACCTTGTTTCCCAACATATGGTCTATCCTTGAGAACGTTCCATGTGCACTTGAGAAGAATGTGTATTCTGCTGTTTTTTAATGGAGTGTTCTATATGTATCTATTAAGTCCATCTGGTCCAGTTTTTTGTTTAATTCCACTATTTCCTTGATGACTTTCTGTCTGGACGATCTACCCATTGATGTAATTGGGGTGTTTAGGTCCCCTACGCTTATTGTGTTGTTGTTAATATCTCCTTTTAGGTTTGTTAGCAGTTGCTTTATGTACTTTGGTGCTCCTGTGTTGGGTGCATATGTATTTTTAAGTGTATGTCTTCTTGGTGGAGTGTCCCTTTTATCATTATATACTGCCCCTATTTGTCTCTCATTACCTGTTTTGTCTTGAAGTCTACTTTGTCTGATATAAGCATGGCAACACCTGCTTTCTTCTGTTTGCCATTAGCTTGGAGTATCATCTTCCATCTCTTCATTCTGAGCCTGTGTTTGTCTTCAGAGCTGAGATATGTTTCCTGGAGGGAGCACAATGTTGGGTCTTGTTTTTTAATCCATCCCACCACTCTGGGTCTTTTGATTTGAGAATTCAATCCATTTAAATTTACAGTGATTACTGACATACGAGGGCTTAATGCTGCCATTTTATCATTCATTTTCTGGTTCTTCTGCATTTCCCTTGTTTCTTGTCCCACGTATTTCAGACTACTAATTCAGTTTGGTAGTTCTCTATGACGGTTTGCTTAGTTTTCTCTTTATTTATCATTTGTGTCTCTGTTCTGATTATTTGTTTAGTGGTTACCATGAGATTTGTAAAAAAAAATCTCATAGATGACATAGTCCATTTTCCAATAACCTATTTCCTTAGACTAAGCCAATTCCATCCCTTTCCTCTTACCCTTCTAAGTGATTATTGTCACAGCTTACTCCATCTTTTATTGTGAGTTTGTAGTTAAAATGATGAGATTACATTATTTGGATGTTCTCCCTCCCTTTATTTTTTATAGTTAATGATCTGATAGAGAGCTGCAATTTTCTGACATAGTCTAACTATTTATCTCCTTGCTCAAGGATTCATAAACTCTTTCCTTTTTTTTTTCAGGTAACGAGGGCCTTCTTAAGCATTTCTTGTAGAGGGTACTTGTGGCAATGAACTCTGTTAGCTTTTGTTTATCTGGGAAAGTTTTTACTTCTCCATCATATCTGAGGGATATTTTCGCTGGATAGAGTATTCCTGAAAGCTTTTGTCTTTCAGAATTTTGAGTCTATAATTCCATTCTCTCCTAGCCTGAAAGGTTTCTGCTGAGAAATATGCTGAAAGCCTGCTAGGAGATCCTTTGTAAGTTACTTTCTTCTGCCTTGCCCTTAATATTTTTTTCTTTGTCGTTCACTTTTGCCAGATTTACTACTATATGCCTTGGAGAAGGTCTTTTTACATCAATATAATTAGGAGATCTATTAGCTTGTTTCACTTGTATGTCCAGCTGCTTCCCCAGGTTTGGGACGTTCTCAGCTATTAATTCTTTGAACAAGCTTTCTGCTACATTCTCTTTCTCTTTTCCCTCTAGAATATCTATAGTCCTTATATTGCATTTCCTAATTGAGTCAGTATTTCTCAGAGAATTTCCTCATTTCGTTTTAGTCTTAGTTCTCTCTCCTCCTCCATCTGAAACATTTCTATATTTCTGTCCTCCAGACTGCTGATTCTCTCCTCCATAATATCAGCTCTGTTGTTCAGTGAGCCCAGATTTTTCTTTCTCTCATCCATTATGTTTTTCAGCTCCAATATTTCTGATTGGTTTTTCTTTATAGTTTCAATCTCTTTTGTGAAGAAGTTCCTGATTTCATTGAACTGTCTATATTTTCTTGTAACTTTGAGTTTTTTTATGATAGCTATTTTGAATTCTCTATCATTTAGATTATAAATTCCTGTGCCTTCAGGATTGATTTCTGGGTGCTTGTCATTTTCCTTCTGGTCTGGAGTATTAAAATATTTTTTCATACTGTTTGATGGCATGGATTTGTGCCTATGTACAGTGATAGTATTTGGTTGCAGCTTCACCTGCCACCACTGGGTAAGGGTCAAGAGCTGTGTATTCTGAGCCTGCCACAACCCTGGCTTGCTGGTTCACAGCCGCTGCTTTTCTATCGTATGCATGGGTGCTCTGGCTGACTGGCTGAGATGGAGCACTGGGCAGGGGGAGGGGCACTTTCTCTTGCCTGAGAAATCCTAGGTGCATTCTCACTCTGCCCTCACTATCTGCTCTCCTGGGGTGCTGGATTGATAAAGATACCCCAGCAATAGCTTAGCCATCTGTGCGTGGAGCTTTCTCATGGGCTGTGAGGGAACTTGGAGAGCGAAGTTGTTCCTGTGGAGTGCTGCCCTTCCCCCCCTCCTCTCACAGCCACACGTAGTCCCACACCCTGGGTTGCTGCTATTGGGGGAGGGAGAGGAGATCCTCTTACCACCTTCCACTTCCTCTGGGAGCTCCAGCACCTCCACATTCAGCTGTATGGCTGCATAAGGGTCTCAGACATTTTTTGTTTTGTGTGAATGTCCTCTGTTGGTATATGAATATCCTTTTTCTTGTATCTTAGGGGGGAGAGTCTAAGGGAAGAGCTCACACCCCCATGATGCTGACATCATTCTTCCCTAAATGCACTTTATTTTTACACAAATCAGTGCAAGTGTAATTTTTTTCAGAAAAATTTATTTGTAGCATCTTACATGCCTCTTGAAGATCATAATATCTGATTAACAATATGTTCTTATTTGAGATTTACAAGAGGAATTCATTTTTAGAACTTGAAGAAGTTTTAGGTAAATATTCAGTGGAAAATTATCTTTTTTCTTCTTTCCATGTCTTCTTCCTTTCTTCCTTTTCCCAGGAATAAACAGCTTGCATGAGTCCACTTCATGTTTCTTCTCACCCTCTTGGTTTGGTCTCTACTCAGCCCTATAGGCACTCTCAAAATTTCCCTTGAATATTTCTTAAGGAAGCAAGGTCTAACCTGGACAAAAAGAATGAGTTAGCAAAGCAGAGAGAGGAAGAAGCAGAGGTAAGAAAATGTACAGATGTCTAGAGGCTGGGGCTTGGTTCATTTGGAGAACATCTAGTTCAATACCACTGTTGCCCAGAGGACTAGAAAACTAGCAGGAAATAACCAGACTGGACAGGTGAGGAGGGATGTATCATGAGAGACCTTACTTTTTCTTGGCTCCAGGGATCTTAACAACTGGTTTGGCTCTAATCATGTACCAATTTGGGTATGTATATGCACATGCAAGGGAAGCTGTAATGGTGGGGGCCAGAGAGAGAAAAATCTCTCTTTCAAATTTCATTTGGTCTTTGTGCCAGCCCCTAAGATGGTCCCAAATGATCCCACCTCCTGGTATTCACCTTGTGTACTCCCTTCCTACACTGTACCCGGGTTAGTCTGTGTGAATAATATAATATGGCAAAAGTGATGATATGTCACTTTCAAGAAGAGGTTATACAAGACACCTAAGTTTCCATCTTGGAAGTTCTCTCTCTTTCTTAAATCACTCCCTCTGGGTTAATTCATATTATGAAATGCCCTATGGGGAGGCCTACGTGGCGAGGAACTGAAGCCTCCTGCCAACAGCCATGTGAGTGAGCTTGAAGAGGATCCTCCAGCCTGAGAGAAGTCTTCAGAGACTGCAGCGCCATCCAACACTTTGACTGTGATCACATTAGACACCTGACTCAGAACCACCCAGATAAGCTGTTTCTGGAGTCTTGATACTTAGACACTGTGAACTGTAGAAACTGTAAATGTTTGTTGTTTTAAGCTTGTGAGTTTTGAGGTAATTTGCTATGCAGCAATAGAAAACTAATATAGCCCTCCCTCCAATTATGTTGTGCTACTTTCACAGTTCAAAATCAGGCTACTTCAGTACTAGTTTTTAAAAATTCCCTCCAAGTGTGAAAATACAAGAAAATATTTGACCTGTAATTTTCTTTTGCATCTTCCCAAGCAAGTTGTTTAAATTCCTCATACATTTTTTTATTGAAGTGATCTCTGAGGAAAAAGGACCAGAAACGAAAGAGGGTATTCATTTCTTGGGACTGGCCAATTCCCAAGCGTTTTCTCTCTGGAAAAAGTTAGAATAATAAAATATTTTTATTATTAAAGATACTTATTAAATTTAAAACAGCAGATATTTTATATAATTTAAAATAAAGAAAGCTGAAACATATTAATCCTCAAAATGTATTTGGGTTTCTTCTAAATATAGGACAAATATTAATCCATTTTCTGACTCACTGCTCAAATTTAAGCATTTGTCAGTAGCAACAAGAATATACTAAACTTTATTTCCTAATGTGTCTAAGCTACAAAATACATGAATAAAGGATCTATATAAACACACTTACTTAAGGTAATTATAAAAGTATAACAAAGTAAAAATATATCTTGACCTGATAGTAAATGTCACAATTTGAACTTTTAGAATTATATTTTAATTTTAAATATAACTACATAAAGGACAAGCATCTTACCACTTAGGCACCTTCGACGATACTTGAGGTACACTTGTTGGGTAAAGCCATTTTCTTTCAAAAGTTCATGAGAAGGGTGCTGAAACTTTGGGAATGAATGAGGAGTACATCCATAACTTCCTACTAGTGGTGCACCTTCTGAAGGTGAAGCGTTTGAACTGCTGTTTGAGAAGGAGGAAAAAAGGCTTCAAACTGAAATATCAAAAACCAAGTGTTTAAACCAACTTGCCCTATTTGTTCATTATTGCGAGTCTGAGTAGTGGAAAAGACATCAGTCCCTAAAACTCTTCTAAAGTAGTGACATACAGATCTTCATATGAATTGCAATTGACGTTTAACACACAGGTAAATTCAGAAGCTGATAAAGAACATGGTCATAAGTTCTCAACGAAAGCAAAAAGTAGCAGCAGATAATCAAATAGCTGGCTTATTCCTCTTCTAGATCCAGAATTAATTTAGTTTAGTTTATTTTTTTCTTACAGTACTGGAGAAATTTTCAATTTTCACGAGTAATTAGGTTAATGATGTAAATTGAGTAAGTGGAAGTGAGGAATAAAATCTGGCACAAAGGCAATAATTTCATTATCCAAAGACATACCTGCAATTCTGTAAATCAATTCCACTTCTGAAATATCTCCTAAATCTGTCTCTTTCTTTTTTTTCTTTTTTGAGGAAGATTAGCCCTGAGCTAACATCTGCTGGCAATCTTCCTCTTTTTGCTGAGGAAGACTGGCTCTGAGCTCACATTATGTGGGATACCTACCACAGCATGGCTTGCCAAGTGGTGCCATGTCCGCACCTGGGATCCGAATCAGCAAACCCTCAGCTGCTGAAGTGGAATGTGTGCACTTAACCCCTGCGCCACCGGGCCGGCCTCTGTCTTTTCCTTATATCTGCACTCCACTATTTAAATTTAGGTTTTCATCCTCCTTGACTTGAACTAACTGGTCTCCTTGTTTGTCTAATCTCCCTCCTCTATCTTGCCACCAAAATGATCTTCCTAGAATATTGATCTATATCAGTGGTTCTCAATGTGTGATCTGTAGATGCTTAGTGGGATTCCCAAGAACCTTTCAGAAAATCTGCAAGGTTAAAACTATTTTCATAATAATACTAAGATATTGTATGTCCTTTTTACTATGTTCACATTTGCAGTGATAGGACTAAAGCAACGATGTATAAAAGTGCTGATGTAGGGGCTGGCCTGGTGGCGCAGCGGTTAAGTGCGCACATTCCGCTTGGGTGGCCCGGGGTTCCCTGGTTCGGATCCCGGGTGTGGACATGGCACCACTTGGCAAGCCATGCTGTGGTAGGCATCCCACATATAAAGTAGAGGAAGACGGGCCTGAATGTTAACTCAGGGCCAGTCTTCCTCAGCAAAAAGAGGAGGATTGGCAGCAGTTAGCTCAGGGCTAATCTTCCTCAAAAAATAAAGAGAAAAGAAAAGGAAAAAGAAAGAAAGAAAAAGTGCTGATGCACATTGAGGCAGTGGCACCAAATTTTACCTAGTGCTTGTATTATTCACTGCAATGCACTTGCAATTTTTAAAAAATGCCAGTTTCAACTTAAGATGACTTTGATAAAGCAAAAAAAATTAACTTTATGAAATCTCAACCCTTGAGTACACATCTTATTGTGTGTGACAAAATGAGACAGAAACTTTAGTTTTGCAAAATGAAAAGTTCTGGATATGTTTCAGAACAATGTGAATAAAACTTAACACTACTGCACTGTGCACTTAAAAAAGGTAAAGTTGGTAAATTTTATGTTGTTTTTTAATCACAATTAGAAAAAAACGAGATGGAAACATAAAGCACTTTTGCAGCATATCAAAGTAGGATGCCTGTTGCTTTGCACTGAATGTTTGTTGAATTCCCAACCCCCAGTGTGATGGTATTAGGAAGTAATTAAGTCATGAGGGCAGAGCTCTCACGAGTGGGATAAGTGCCCTTATAAGAAGAGATGTGAGAGAGCTTGCTTCTTATCTCTTTGCTCTCCACCATGTGATCATACAACAAGAAGAAGGCCATCTGCACACTAGGAGGTAGGCTCTCATCAGACACTGGATCTGTTGGCACCTTGATCTTGGAACTATGTGAAATAAATGTTTGTTGTTTAAGCTACCCAGTCTATGGCATATTTGTTATAGCAGCTTGAACTAAAAGAGTTGTCTTAAGTCAAAACACCTGTGCAAAGGGCCAGCCTGGTGCTTAGTGATTGGGTTCACATGCTCCACTTTGGTGGCCCAGCATTCATGGGTTAGGATCCCAGGTGTGGACCTATATACCGCTCATCAAGCCATGCTGTGGTGGTGGCCCACATACAAAATAGAGGAAGACTGGCATGAATGTTAGCTCAGCTACAATCTTCCTCAAGCAAAAAGGGGAAGATTGGCAACAGATGTTAGTTCAGGGCCAATCTTCCTCACACAAAAAAACAACCATCTGTGTGATAACGTGAGCTGAACTAGTTGATTTTTTTCATGGAATACCAATTTAATTAGAAGGACAACCAACAAATTATGGTTATTTAGATTTCATTCTGTGTCAGACACTTCCTTGAAAATGAACAAAATGAGTCTGTAACATCAAGGAAGAACTGAGAATTCTAATTCCCAAAATTAGAATTTTGGAAACCTTGTATTTGTCACAATAAGCCTGATAGTTCTCACTAATACCTAAAGACGAAATCAGTAGTGAGTTTTTTAGGAGTCTGTATGTGCGTGTCTGTGTGTGTGGTAAAAGATACATGACATTTATAATGTTAACCATTCTTAAGTGTACTAATCATCAGTATTAATTATTCACAATGTTATATAATCATCACCGCTATCTATACCTAAAACTTCTTTATCATCCTCAACAACAATCTATTAAACAATAACTAACCCTTTCCCCCTCCCTCAGCCCCCAATAACCTCTACTCAATTCTGTCTTTGAATTTGACTATTCTAGGTACGTCATATAAGTGGGATCATACTATATATATCCTTCTGAGTTTCCCATATTTCACTAGGCATGTTTTCAAAGTCCATCTATGTTGCAGCATTATTCAAAATTTTCTTCTTTTATATGGTTGAATAATATTCCATTATATGTATATACCATATTGTGTTTATCCAGTCATCTGTTGATGGACATGTGGGTTGTCTCTACCCTTGGGCTATTATGAATAATGCTGCTAAAAACATGGGCATAAAAATATGTTTAATTCCCCATCTTCAATTCTTTTGGACATACACCTAGGAGTGGAATAGCTGGGTCATATAATAATTCCCACTCCAATGTTTTAACATTTTGAGAAAATGCAAAACTGTTTTCCACAGTGGCTGTAGCATTTTATATTTCCACAAACAATGCACAAGAGTTCTAATTTCTCCACATCCTCCAATTTATTTGTTCTTTTTTATTATACACTTCTGTATTAGTCAGCTCAGGATGCCATAACAAGATATCACAGTCTCTGGGTGGCTTAAACAACAGAATTTATGTTCTCCCAGTTCTGGAGACTAGAAGTCCAAGACCAAAGTGCCAGCAGTGTTGGTTTCTGATGAGACCTCTCTTCCTGACTTACAGAGAGTCACCTCCTCAATGTGTTCTCACACAGCCTTTCCTCTGTGTATATGCAGAAAGAAAGAGATCTCTGGAGTCTCTTCCTCTTTTTATAAGGACACTAGTCCTATCGGATTAAGGCCCCATGCTTACTACTTCACTTAACTTTATCTTCTTAAAGGTGCTATTTCCTAATACAGTTACAGCGGGGGCTTAGAGCTTCAACATATAATTTCTGGGAGACACAATTCAGCCCGTAATACCATCCTAGTAGGTGTGAAGAGTTATCTCATTGTGGTTTTTGATTTGCCTTTCTCTAATGAATAATGATGTAGAGCCTCTTTTCATGGGCTTATTGGCCATTTGTATATCTTCTCTGGAGAAATGTTTATTCAAATCCTTCACCATTTTTGAATCAGACCCTTTTGTTGTTGCTGAGTTGTTGGAGTTCTTTATATGTTCTGCATGTTAGTCTCTTAGATATATGATTTGCAAATATTTTCTACTATTTAGTAGGTTTTTTCACTCTGATCATATCCTTTGATATAGAAAAGTTCATAATCACGATGAAGGACAATTTATCTATTTTTTCTTTTGTCATCTGTGCTTTTGGTGTCATACTCAAGAAACCATTGTCAAATCAAGGGTCATGAAAAGTTTTCCCTATGTTTTCTTCTAGGCATTTTATAATTTTACTGCTTAAGTTTAGGTCTTTGATCCAGTTTGAGTTAATTTTTTCATACATGGTGTAAGGTATGGATCCATCCTTTTGCATGTTGGATATCCAGTTTTTCTAGCACTATCTGCTGAAAAGATAGTTCTCTCCTCCATTGAATAGTCTTGGCACCCTTGTTGAAAACAAATTGACCATATATGCAGGGGTTTATTTCTAGGCTCTCTATTCTTTTTCATTGGTCTATATATCTGTACTTATGCCAGGACCATACTGTTTTAATTACTGTAGCTTTTCAGTAACTTTCAAAGTCAGGAAGTGTTAGTCCTCCAATTTAATTTTTCCTTTTTAAGATCGTTTTGGCTTTCCAGGGCTCCTTATAATTCCATATGAATTTGAGGAAAAGCTTTTCCATTTCTGTGAAAAAGGAATTTTGGAATTTTGATAGGGATTGTGTTGAATCTATACATTGCTTTGGTGTCTTAACAATGGTAAGTCTTCCTGTCCCTAAACATGGAATGTCTTTGCATTTATTTAGGCCTGCTATAATTTTCTCAGCAATGTTTTGTAGTTTTCAGCATACAAGTCTTTTACCTCCTTGGTTAGATTTATTCCTAAGTATTTAATTCTTTTAGATGCTAATGTAAATGGCATTGCTTTCTTAATATCCTTTTCAAATTGTTCAGTGCTGGCATATAGAAACACAACTGATTTATCTGTTTCGTACCCTGCAACTTTGCCAAAATTGTTTTTTAGCTTTAGTATCTTTCTTGCTGATTTGAGGGGGTTTTCTATATATGGAATCATATTGTCTGTGACTAGAGATAGTATTAACTGTTCCTTTCCAATTTGATGTCTTTTCTTCCATTTTCTTCTCTACTAGCTCTGGCTAGAACTTCCAGTACAACAGTGAATAGCAACAGTGAAAGCAGGTATC